ATCTTTTGAAATACTCTTTATTAAGATATTTTGCATTAATGACTGTGTGTAGCCGATTTAAACTTATCTGTCAAAACTATATCTTGATTATTGACGGCAAAAAAACCAAAGGCCTTTGTACATGTTTGCGTGCATGTAAAAGAACTCTTGGTAGTTGGAATTTAATGGAAACCCTGCTATTTGGGCAATATTTCCTTCAAAGCAAACTGCATGACATTCACCTGTATTCATTTAGCCCAGTTGGTGCAGAAAAGTAGGAGGTTTAAACCCAATTTCACTTCATTTCATTTTTTGGGGGGTTACAGGTCTTCAAATCTTAGTACTTATTTTTAGTGAACATTTTTGTTTGTTTACACCTAAAAAACCAGCAACATTATACCTACATATGATGGCAGCTAACTGACAACTTTCTAGCTGTCAATCACTTCACATATCAAACACCTGTTTATTGAACTGTTTGATCTACATATAAACGAGAGGTAAATCAAATAAAACTTGTTAGTTTTTACCTCATCAAAGATAAAATAATAAGTTTGAGGACTGATTGGCTGGGCTTATAGGTAAGATAACTAGATTTTCAGATCACCTGGGCAATTTGATTTACCTACATGGCACTACACCTGATCCCCTTGTGATCTAATAGTACCTATATTACACCTTGAAACTTATGAATAAATTGCCTAAATTGAAATCAGATTATTTATTTATCACTTTAGTTTAAGACATCTCACTGATTTAGTAAACTTATCTTGAACAATTTTTCTCTAGAAACAAGAAACACAATACAAACAAAAAATGAATGAAAAGAATACTTCAATATCAATATTCATGATCTATTGCTATGAAATATTGAATGAGTTTATAATATATTTATTTAGTAAATAATATAACTTAGAACTATCTAGTAGGTACTGACTTAAGAAACCTAGTTTCATTCTTAGGTAAGGACTCTAGAAGAGCTGAAATACTAGACACGTTAATCAAGTTTTATCATCATAAGATGGAATTCTATAGGTGTAAATAATTTGTAGTTTACTATATATTTGTGTAAGGACTTAAGAAGTGTTCGAATTGTATAGAGTATATAAAGAGTATTTATTATCTAACATCAAACAGAGTAAATTACAACTTTGTACCTATCTATGTAATATTAGATATATTGTTGTAGTAAGAGCTGGTCTAATATTACAGATTACCTGATGAAAGGTGAACTAAGTAAAGATTTCCCTTTTACAAACACTTATTAAAACCCTTCATAACAGAAAAACAGTTGCTGGGACCTACAGGTACGAGGCTAAAGGAGATCTTCAGGGGTTTACACTTCCATCAAAATATTACATTCCCTAGCAAGGAACAAGCACCAACCACCAGTTTTATGTAGGATTGATTTTTCAGGGCAATAACTACTAAAATAGATCAACGAGTCTAAATTTCAATAGAATTTATTCTTATGATTCACAATCACTCCCAGTTTGAAAAATAAAATCTCATAATCTTGTAGAGAATTTACAAGGTTTCATTGACATGGTTACACTGACCTGTTGAATATTTACAAATTTTCAGTGACAGGGGTAGTAACTCTTGAGAAACATCCTTGTGCAACTCTGATTTTCATAGGGTTTCTCCTGAGGATTATCCAAACAATTCAAAAATATCCATAACCAGAAGAGCATTAATAAGAATTGTTTACCGACAGACATACAGGTGTGACATCAATATACTCCGTGAAATCTGGGTGTGTAAGTATGGGCAAATTAATGTTTTAAAAGTCAAATTACAGTATGTACACTATATAAGACTATAAATTTGAAAGTTTTACATGTTTGCATAGTCAGTAAACATAGCAAGGCAACATTTTTCTTAAATTTTGCCATAAAATTTAAACTACAAAGAGTTAAAGAATGAAATTTGGAAAAATCATTGTGTGGTCAACCACCCACCCACCTATCTCCTACTTACGCTACCTATCCTGTAAATATTAGTTGTATAAAACTAGGTGTAATATTTCTATATGACATAAAGATAACACAGTAAATAAAGAACACATGGACAATAGAATATTCCTCATTAATATTCATGGAGGTCTTCAGTTAAAGGGACAGAAAGAAATAAGTACAATTTCATACCTAATCTTTTATGATATGTGTACGTAAATGTTTAATATCAATTTATATCAGATACAGATAGGAGGAACATGTAACCTTGAAATACGACCACAAGCATCTTAATCTAAAATCAATATCAACAAAGCGATTTTTTAAAACTTTGGAATTCATTAAAGTTTCTTTTTATGTCATAATGAACAATTTAACCCAAAATCAGACATTTTTCGTAAAGTTTTATAAATTTGAATCTTAACAGGAGATAAATGTAATGAGGCATTTAAAATAAAAAAAAAATATGAATTGCAATAGGTATTCGCCTTAGTCCCAAATGAACAATACCACAAATTTTTAAAAATTCCATTGAGAGTGTTGCTTTGTATGTGGCTTGGATGCATACAAATCAACCCATAACTGATTTTCCTTTTTTTAAATTATGAATGCAGTTTGAAATAAAATCCAAGGACACAATGGCAACAATTGAATTCTCTAGATTTTATACCTTTTTATAAATTTCTATTGAAAAAATCACAATACAGAAAATATGTCAGCAAACTAGGCTATTTTTAATCACATCCACTTGAACTATATCATGTAACATAGATAATATCAAGAATGTAACATTATCCTCAATTTAACAGGAGATGATCTGAATTAAAAAGACCTCACGCTCTGTACATTCAGTGAAAATTGTCATTCAAATAGATACACAATTATTCAGTAAAACTTTTCAACATCATAACATAAAATTTGAACGGACAATACTTGGTTGCATTTTTTAAGTAGTGATAATGGGTTCTTTTTTTTTTTTTTTTTTAGAGCCTGTGCTGTAAGGTAAATCAAACAAAACGAGAAAAACATTAATGGAGCTAAATCACTAATATTTGGGACCTAGAAATTAACAAAAATGGGTCGCAACGCATATAATAATGTAATATGAATGTATATAAACTGATTTACATTCAATCATTTCTGTTTTTACTCTAATCTCTAATCAGTTATGTTCGGCGCAATACCATAGAAGTCTCAATCGAATGTCAATCTCTAGCGTCTGGTTATTCCGGTCTACACCGATAGTATTTATTATGCATGCTCTCCAGATAAGAATATGGCGTCATTGTTTGACATGACTTGTGGAATATGTCTAGCGGAATCCCTTGATATACATGGCCCTAGTGAAATGCATTATGGTACACGATTCATGTACCAATAGTAAAACGTTTATTTTGTCTTAAATATTGGATATCAGAAGCCCATCTTTCCCTGGTAAGATCACAAAATCAATGTTGATTTAAATTGACAAATAATTTGTGTTTTCAATGTCGAAGACTTTGGATGATATTGAATTAGAGACTTAGCTACTTTAAACTGTTGAATCTAGACCAAACCAATATATAGCAATACTTTTTTGTCAAGTATCGCAATATATTGCAATACACATCCCTATCGGAGGTCTCTATTCTACAGGAAAAATTACATGCTTGATCGAACAGATTATACCAAACTGTGCCTGTTACTGTTGGTACAAAACTATAGAAATGGCGACAGATTGAAGTATGGGATTAAAGTTGATCTATATATTAAACACACAGTGATACATTAAATATTTAGGCCTACTTCTTATCTATACTACTATGTTAATAGGAAAAGCCAATAGAACCAATTTAAAGGGCAATTCATTTGACACAATAACATGTCTCTACCACCATTATTATTTAATATCTGTAACTTAGATCTATTTTGATTGTCTAACAAATAAATGATGCCAATATCACACAATTAACATCAAAAGTCTCATAAAAACATCATATAAAACTAATGATTAAATCATAATTCACTGTTGATCCCAGGTCACAAAGTATTCCAAATATAACTCTTTTATTACATTAAATCATTTTGGATTACCTCAATACAATTCATATACTATTTATTAATATTAATGGTATTCTATGTCAATGTCTGTTTGAATAATAGATTTAAACTGGGTCAAATTCTCAATAAATATGCAATATGTAAGTTTATTGCATTATTTCATTGTTCAAAATATATTTGCATAATCTGTAAACACAGTCTATTAGTTTACAGCTAGGAAACATTGTAGAATATGTAAAAGAGAGAAAGGGGACTCTTGCTGTGTTTTCAAGTCGTGCCAAAAAGTGTATAAAGTAGAACACATTTTAACATTTGTTCAAGAGAAAATACAAGAATGGAATCAAACGTATTTATCTATCTTATTAAGAGTCTTAATCTTAGTTTACCATTTGAAACATTAATTCAGAATTAGAATATGTATTAATCTAAAATAACACAAAAATCAAAAAAAATTCATTTCACAAGAAAAATTAAAGAGGTACTTCCAACAAAATAGTATTTTATTCAGATAAGAATAAATGTAAAAGATTGCAAAGATGTGTTAGGTATAACTGTCAACAATGTAATGTATTTTTATGAGGTATTTTTTTATGTACAAAGAATGTTATGTGAAACTGTGACAAACTTTAAATGTATCAAATACATAGTTTACTGCATGTATAATGTTTGGTTAAATACAGTAGTACATTATTATTCCAGTGGTGATATTGTGTAATAGATGAACAAGAAAAAGGAACAATATCCTATACTAAACATGAATAAAACTAAGGTCTAAAACTAAAAAAAAAAATTTTATGAGGAAACACACTACTTGTTTTCCAGTCACAAGCATGCACACATCGACACCAACACACAACTGATCGTATCCTCTCAGTTGCGGTCAGTTGTTCTCAGTTGCGGGCTTAAGACACTGCTTCATTTTGCGATCTATTCTACTTAGTCAACTCAGTCCAAAATTAGTAAATTGAGATATTTCATATTTAAGCAGGAGATTGTACCTTTAATGAAGTAATTCAAACAACTAACCTATATCAGCTGTAGGTAACATATTTCCTGATGATTTTACTTCATCAAATCTTGTAAATAACTGTTTTAATCTAAAATATAGAAACATTCAAGTTATCTCCCTGTCAAAATTCGCAGCTTCCCAATTTCATCTTTCAAATTTTTAAGAACAACATGATATAACTGGTTAATTTAAGTTTAACAAACCTTTCCACCATACAATAAATCTCTGTAATGGTGACATTTTTTTGGGGGGAAAACAATATTACAAATTTTGGCCATGGGTCATAAGCCAAAAGTCACCACCATTATTATCACAGTGTTAAATGTCATGATTACTTTGGAAACCAACCAAACCTGACATAACAATGATTTGATGACATTCTGTGGTCTAGTTGTTCAAATATTACCAAGTTGCTCAGGTATATCCTGTGTTTAATCCGATTATATACATGTACATGTACTTCCTAAAACTTTTACAGGAAAATTATTTTAAAAATGTTTCGACAGGTTTTGCTTACAATAAAAGGCTCAATTATTTCAATAATATTTTGAGATTAATAACCAGAGGTGTGCACAAAAAATTGATTGTATCGATAATCACGAATGAAGTTTGACTGTCTTGATAATCATGAATGAAGTCTTGATAATCATGAGTTGCTACCAGTATCATAGGTAATAATATTGGCTATTGACATCGATATACGACAGGTATACGACATGTTGGCGATAATTCTGGAAACAGAAAGTAATTTCCTTGAAATTACAGATCAAAATGTGTTAAAGCAATTATTTCTTTAATTACCTAGTCTGTGAACTGAGTATCTTTTTAAGAGAAAGTCCTACCTTTGAGGTGGTATAGTTTTGCGACCTAGATCAATTCGAACTCGTTCTCCTACATGTCGATAAATCTCAGTCATTGTATTTATAGCTTCTTCTCGTACCTAGTAATATAAAAAAAAAACATGGTACTTATTCATTTTCAATACAAACAAGAGTTTAAGAAATTTGAATGAAAAATCTCACACGATAAGACTAAAGTCAGGAATTTTGTGAACACCTAATTTCAAAGTTTCATTTGCAATTTATTTAAATAATTACATAACATGTACTACAAGTTATAAGGTATACCATTAATACTTGAGCAGTGCCATTCCCTATAATCTAAACTGCTTCATTAGATTGTTTAGTATACAGGCATGTACACTTTCAATTCAGGTTGTATAAATATTCTACTTCCGTATTTATTCTACTTCTGGTATTATAGAATCAGAATTTTATTCTACTTCTGGTATTATAGAATTAGAATTTTATTAACAACCAAAACTTGTCTCATGTTTTTTTTAATATCTAATCTGTTACAAAACCATCAACTTGTGATTATTTTGAGTACATTGCAGATTGTTTATCTCAGAATGTTTGAATTCTCCAATAAGTCTTGCTGTAACTGTATCTATGATCCTGAAAGTTTTAGTCCTTAGTTATTTCAGAATAAAATCCAATATGATGATGAGTTAGTTGTATTTTACGTCCGCTTCCACCGAGGTGATATCGCAGACAATAAAATCCAATAAGAGAGCTTTTTTTTTTTTTTATAGCTCAAACCCTGTTTTTATGTCATCACGATCTGAAATAATTTTTAAATAAACTGGATTATGTTTGATGTGTGATGAATGGTCTATTTATTCAAGCGTTACATTTGGTGTGCACATAATGGATTCTGGGATAAACTTATAGAACAAAATTTTACACTGTTTAGTAAAAGTTCATCAATATGAACCCTACGGTAACCTCCCATGCAAACTGGTTAGATCAATATGTAATGGATACAATCAAAAGTGTTTGAGGCAAGTCAGCAAAGGGAGATAACTACAATGGCTATAGCCTATTTATAATTTACCTGTGCATTTTGATCTTCAAGAAGTTTACAGATGGAAGGAACTATTTTTGACAGCTGAAGGCTTCGAGCACCATATCTAAAATTCATTAAAAATAAAAATGATCATCTCATAAAGTAATCAACACTAAAAGCACCTCTGTTAGTAAAACATAATTAGACTAGGTAGTATCAGTGGGACACATGCATAAAACAGCACACAATAAGCCGAAGAGTTGAAACGACAAAGGAGTCTGTTGCATTATTGGACAGTTTCTTTTTTCTTCCTCTTTATTAACATTATATTAAAAATGTTAAGATGTTTTTTTTACGAAGCGTACCTGTTAATAGTAGCAGCTAAACAGATTAAACAACCTTCTCGTACATGCCATAACTTATGATTAAAGGCCGGCATCATACGCTCAAACACATACTGAAACATCAACAAACACATATTAATATCAATCAAATTATCCTTATAAAAATATTGTTACATGTACATGGTACTCAATTATGTTATTCAATACAATAAGACTTTGAAGACGGATGATTTTATTTTAAATTTATTTTTTATTAATAGCAGATCAATCAATCTGACACAAAATGACAGCTTTAAGTAAAACAAAAATAAGCATCAAAGACAATCTGTTAATAAATTAATTGTGTTAGGGAAAAATGAGATCATTTTTTCTCTAGCTAATTTTAAGCCAAGAAAAACAAAATTAATATATTTTTTTTAATATTTCACTATACATTACCTGTGGAGAAGAAGCTGGAAGCATTAATTTTAATAATAATTGTTGGGCTTGATCTCGGACCTGATCTTTGGCATCACCAAGACGATCTATACATGCTGGTAACACTGGAAAAATATAAACCTTATTTCACAAACATTCAGTTTAATTTGTCAGTAGATATGTAAAGATACTAAAGTACAAACCAACCACTTAAACATACATTATGCAAGAGCTAAATCTGCCTATTGCAGGTCTTTCTTTAGGCCTGAAATGTTATCTAAATTATTAATTAACATTAATAAACTCTTGATGTTATCGCCAGTCTGTGATATTTACTGGATTGTAATCCGATCTGCTGCTCAACGCTCACTGATGATTGGATCAATTTGACTGAAACTTTCAGAAAATTCCCTTTACATTATCTAGTTTTAAACTATTATAGTGAGAACTGCCAGCTCTTAATCTAATCTCCCATAATGTATCTTTAAGCTAAGCCACAAACATTTTTGGACTCAATAAAAGTTACAAAATATAATATTAGTAATTACAATCAAAGAAACTATAAATATCTGATAACTGATGTAATAAGTCAAAGGTGGTTATTAATATGATTATCAACACATGAATAAATAGAAAGATTTTAAAACCCTGGTCATAAATTTCATATTTTGAGAATTGAAACTGACACTTGTTGTGGGGTTTCAATTTGTTGTTGTTAATAGTTAATGCTTAATATGAATATTTCATTCCTACTTCCAGCAGACGATTTGGTGTATGGCACAACTATGTTTAAGTAGTGAAAATTGAGTATTTTTCTAACATGAACTTTATATCTCATGCCTAATATTTTTTTCTTATCGATTTATTGCTGTCAAATGGATCTTGCATGAGGGAAATATGCAAACAATTATCAGATCTATATACTATCCATAGATGTATGATAAGAATATGACAACAGGAAGAGTTTTCTCCCTTGAACTGAAATTGAATCTGGGAAGAACATTTTCTCACAAATGATAAAAGTTACAGGTACATGTTACTAAACAAATATACATAATTTGCCAAGATACTGAACACTGCCTTTGGAAATATTATTTTTGTCAGAAACATTGTTAAAATACCTGTAGAGACATGTGGTTTAAACTCTTCTCCCATACGGTCTACCATCAGACATAAAACTTCTAATCCATTTACAGAAATCTACAAAATATACAAAACATCATTGTCAACATCCAAGTTTTAGTTAAATAATTTATTTTTAAAATTCTTTAAAAAAATATAAAATAATTATTTAAAATGAAGACAAGAGATAGAAAGATGGAAAAGAAAATAAGAAAACAAAATGAGGTTATGTCAGGTTTTCAGAATTATACTAATCCAGGTCTTGGGTTAACAATAGGTTTTTTTTTTATGAAGAAAACCACCGATGCAGTATTTCATGACCAATATATCAACTGTGTATACTAATTATAATAATCATATTTCTTTTGTTTAATATGTGTATAACTGAAAATAAAATCTGAGATTGTAGATTTACCAGGTGATGAAGAATTACATCTGTACAAGGAACATTACTTGGACTGGATATTGGAGTTCGTGGACGACGTCGTAAGCTTCCTTGACGTTCTAGTCTACATTTATCCAGACCGAATTCCATCGATCCATGAGGGGACCGTAAGCTATCCTCATATTCGGATGATTTCTGTCTTTGAGTGAGTTTGAGTCGAGTTGGACTCGACCAGTTATTGTCAATCATTTTGATTATATTTAATTGTATCACAGAGTTTTTAAAAGTTCACAATGTTAGATAAAATCCTCCTGAAAAGAATGAACAATATCCACATTCAACAATAAACTAAGCATTAAAAGAAAATTAATATCCAAAATACCAATATGAAATGATATACATTTTTTGAAATTGTCACAATTCTATCAAAGAAACTGATGTAAAACCAAACGTACATGTACCCCCACAAATAACCTCCTTCAATCTCAATTAAAATTAAAACAATGAAAACAAAATGAAATTCAAGAAGTCCATAACAATAAAAGTATCAATTCTTAAAAAGACTTTCTCTTTCAACAATTCTTCTGTAAACAATGCACTCCTTCACACGACTTGTCAAAATTGCAAATCTAAAAACTTGAAGCAAATGTTTCAAATATTTGATTAAAACTGTCATGTGTACACATTGACTATTGATGCACCATGTCCATATTTACATAGCATCTTGTAAAAACATTTAAAACATTTCTAATTATTTCACTCTTCAAAATGAAGAAAGAACTCACAATAAATCAGCACAAGAACATTTGTAGTTTGATATACCTTTTTAAAAAAATATAAATACTCATCTCAATCAATGCATTCTATATCGAAACTTATACAATTTTATAAAACTTTCAGCTAAATCCAGTGGAAGTTGATACTTTAATAATCACTATATCTAATGTATGCACTTTCAGAAATTGAAGAAACTCAACTGTTAACTGTTTATAGAATTGAATGTATCATATTACCATCACATCCATATCTATACCTTGTACTTATTTATCTTATCAATAAGGTAATCTACATACCTTTACATGTAAATACAGGTAAATATCGGAATTAAAGTTCAGTTAAAGTCAATCACTCAACAATATAAATTACATGTCACATCAAAGTTTCTCCTTATAAAAATATCATCAACTTATGTAATTTATATCGATCTACAAATACATTAAAATATATATAATATAATCTGATTTCAAAGTAAAATGATACTGGTTTTCAAATCATGAAATCAAAATTATATTTATCTCTTTTGTCCAAACAATACCAACATCTTGATTCTGTTTATATGAATGTAAATGTACGCTGTTAACCTATATCAATATCTACAGGAATGTAATCTCAAATATGATATTCCACACACAGTTATCATTCCAACTACACAATACATCCAATAATTCTATGCAGATTCACTTGCTCTACATGAGTACAGGTACTTCACTATATTATTTGTATTTTTTTAGAAGGCCGGGCAGCATCTAATTTTCTTTAATTTCAAATTTAATACTAATGAATGAAGAAGACCCAATCTCATGTACATGTATGTTATCAACTGATGTACAGTTTCCTACTTTAACCTGTTTACAACAAGCTTCACAGTTTTTCTGTATGACCTAATTTCATCCCCTGTATGTCTTTCACCTGCAGCATTAATTAACACCCTATTATAATCTACCTTTCATACATATACCTGCAAAATACATCTAATTACACCTATTTACTCTTATATCACACTCAACCCTTAGGGCTTTAACCCCTTCTAGATAAACCATTTCAGTTTTCATATATATTAATCCCTTTGTCAAGTACATCACTTTATTGTCTAATGACCTATATATAACAGATACACCCTGGGAAATATCTTACTTTTACTTAACCCATTATGTTGAAATTTTCACTCGAATCCAAATAAAAACATTTAAGAAACACACCCTTTATTTAGAAATAGAAGGTTTTTAACAATTAAAATAAAAAATATTCAAGAAATGTACCACAATTAAACCATGATTAGAAATCAAATCAATTTAGTCTAAGAAATCAATAAAATCTAGAATTTTGGGGTTACTGGTACATGTAGTTCATTAATTTTTCAAGTTAATGTGCGTACTCTATGGCAGTCCAGTTAAAAATTTATAAGGCAGTCACACCATTACATGTCAACATGTTTATGACCTAAACATGTCAAGGAGGTAATCTCCCTATGTACATTTAATATTACTTACATTTAACTAATTAGATTAGGATTAACAAAACCATTTATAATAACATGATTCGATTATGGCATGAGAGACTCAAAGTACACGAAATTCTACAATATTTCAGGTGAAAGACTGATATAAATTTTGATGGCTCAATGTATTTCATTCTGTAATCGATAACAAGAATTCTCCCCACTTGCTGAGGTTGAATAGCAATATTAATTTAAAGATCTGCACTATCATGACTAATAATATCATTCTAAAGCATCCTGTAAACATAGGCCTCACAAACAACAGATCTTTATTAATAAAGTTTGCATTCTAAAAAAGTTAAATAAAGTTTAACCCTGGTTATTTCAGTATTTGTTAGTTATCATCTCCTGACCCTGCTGTAAATTTTCAGGCAAGAATACATCTCTCTATCAATCTGTGGAGGTAGTGATCAGCAATGCCTTGGTAATATATTGGTTTTAATAAATCTCTATTTCTTGTCAGATATCAACTGCTTACAATTTGTAAAGGTGAGAAAAACAATTAAACTTTATGACAGAAGTGAAATAAAAGCTGTGAAAACACTTATGGATGTTCCAGTTTTATCCTTTCCATCAAGTTCTTCCATTCCACAGTGCACTCAAAAACAGAGAGAGGGACATATGCATGGGGTATGGAGTTACATGTCCATTCAACACAAACTAGGTCAATTCAATGAGATATCTTTAGTTCAATGACTTGCTTGTTTTAACAGTGTAAAATCACCACAGGCACCACATGGTTAGGCAGACAACCCTACCCCTTCTCACATACAAACCTATATAGAAACCACAAAACTTGACACAGTGACATATCTCATTAACTAAAACACACTCAATGGAACCCTCAGACACTCACAAAGTAAAAGATGACTTGAACAGTTTGAACTATGAACTTTTAAAAAATCATTTTATCTCTATCTGAAACTAATGATACTTCAACTCAAAACCTTCCAAATGAATGATCATTGGTTTCCCTTTCCAATAAAATGGTAAGCCAATGGTACAGACAGTAAAGGTATGTGATGATTGCAAATTGATTTATTTTAAGATGAGTTTGGTGTAAAATCTACATGGAGTGAGATTAAGTTGACCTGGTTCAACTACCAGGTAAAATCAATAAATCTATCAATACAGGTAATAAATAATAATCATCACTGCACCATTAATATGTCATCTTCATCATTTACAACATCAGACAGTCTTAATACCAACAGTTTTATAAATACCACAATTTAATATAGTCTGCTTTTCACCAACCATACACACTGACTATATACAATAATATAAATCAGTATCAAAACTTAAAGATACATTATAGGAGATTAGATAAAGAGCTGGTAGTTCTCACTATAATAGTTAAAAACTAGATAATGTAAAGGGGATTTGCTGAAAATTTCAGTCAAATTGATCTACTTTGAACCGAGAATTTAGCGATTGAATTTTTGGCCTAGCCTCGATCATCATTACGAAAGTCGGTACGATAAAAAACATAGTCTCGATTATCCATTTTTTGATTTAATCAGAAGCAGCAGACGGGGTTCTAATCCAGTATATATCGCAGGCTAGCGATGCCATCGGGAGTTGATTTAATGGTCTGGATAAGTTAATTAATGTCTAATGAATAATTTAGGTAACATTTTAGGCCTAAAGAAAGACCTGCAATTGGCAGATTTAGCTCTTGCATAATGTATGTTTAATCCCAACATGCCAAAAAGTTTAAAACTATACGCAGGCAAAAGTACTTGGTCATCTTCATTATACATTGATTTCTTATATATTGATTTCACATCGTCATCTGACATGACTTGTGGAATATGTCTAGCCTCATTCTTCAAGTCCCTTGTTACAAATGGTACCGAAACACATTCTGGTACACGACAGTATAATGTTTATTTTGTCTTAAATATTGGATATCAGAAGCTGATAATTTCTCGGTAACATAACAACATCAATGCTGATTTAAATTGACCAGTAAGTCGCGTTTTCTATGTCGAAGACTGTAGGTGATATTGAGTTAAAGATTTAGCTACTTCAAATAATAGCACTCGAAGGCCAAGTCAAAGACTTTTTGTTTCAAACTGTTTTATGGTTATGACTAAAAGTACAGGACAATTAACTACTGACCACCTATTATTGATCCTATATTTTTCTGGATAGTTTATAAATAATATTAACTTTATGTTATTGTTACACAGATCATTTTGATGAATTATGTCAGTTTATTCTCTCAGGCTAAATAATTTACACTAATATTAACTTCTATATTTATCCAGTACATACAGATCTATGTTTCTCTTCCAAGGTTAATCCTTGTACATTTTCAGGTTGCCTATAGTTTGTTCATCTTCAATTTAAAAGGAGGGAAACAAAAAAACAATAACAACCAAAGACTGAAAGCACCACCTTACTGACCATTTAAATATTAACATGCCTATACTGTTCAAAGCACACATATTTTTTATTTTCAAGACATTTTTCTTTTCAATAATTTAAATGTGGATTTATTTTTAAATTTTCATAAATCTTTTATGCTTTTTGAGAGAATTCATTTGTGATAAATTCTGTAGTAAATTAAATGTTTCTAATATAAATAGCAGTAGTAATGACCACATTAATAATAACTTATATAATAATTAGGTTTAATAATTTACACTGATGAAATAATATGATATATATTTAGCTTGTATTATGTAAGATATAAGTAACGTATGATAAGAAATAAATTTATGTATTTCATGAAATGTAAAGGGTGACATATACATTAAAGTCTCATAGCGTCATTTTAGCGCCATATGAATCCCTATTGTGAAAGATTAATTTCTAATAAGAATATCGGTCCAAAGCATGTATAACTCAATGCAGTATTTACAAAGATATGTTGAACTGAAGTGAACTTCATTGATCTATGCTGCTCTCTATGTAATAAGCCCACCGTTATTTTGTTGTGAGCAAACAGAATTAAATAGTCTGTTTTAAATCAGATTAAATCCAAGTCGGGAGATCATTTCTTGTTCGTATTTTGATTGTGATTTC